ATATGTAAACGTTCTGTTCCTTCTTTTAGCACTATTTCTTTTTCTTTTAACCTAATTTCTTCTTTTTTACCCTAATTTCTTCTAGTTTTATGTAAGTTTCCTTATCGAGCTTCATCTTAAGATAATCAATCCACATATCCTTATGGACATCTTTGGGAATTTCACTAAAAGGATTATCCATACCATGGGAAGAAGTGTTATCTCCTTTATCTACGGGGTTATCAGTAGCCCCTTCATCAATGCTACTAGAAGTGGCTGATCGTAAATTAGGCATACTATAAAATAATAAAATTCAATCAAAGTTTTAAACAAAAAATTTAAAGGCATACAATCATAACTACAAATGTTGTGTTCTCATATAACATATACCAACAAATATGCCCTACCTTCCTCTTCAGTATAATGCAAATGTTGTCAAACTAAATGCTTTACTTGTCCAACGCTTGAAGATACAAAATAAAAAACTTCAATTCTCATGCAACAGAAATTACATCGTCTTCTGTTTTCCACAATCTGTTTTTCAACATGCGCCTGTCTGTCGGCTTCAGCAGCGTTGATTCGCAAAAAGAAATTAAAAAGTAAAGAAACTGTCAAACTAAATATTTTAGTTGTCCAACTCTCGAAGATAGAAATTAAAAAATTTCAGTTCTCATCTTCTGGTTATCACGATTTTTCAACATGCGCCGTCAATCGGCTTCAGCAGTGTTGATTCACAAAAGGAAATTCAAAAGTAAACAAAAATTTTCTCAAAATTCCACAGCCAGTACTTTGGCTTTCATTGGTAAGTTTTTGCCGCTGCCACCATTTGGTACTGGTTTCTCGGTGTTCAATCTATGCTATTATTCAGATTTCACATAATCTAACAAGCAGAGCAGATATGTAGGGGTCTACAAGCTGTTTCTATAAAGCAGTGACTATTCTAACTAACTAATCAAGTAGAGAATCTTAATTATTATACAGGGTTTTAGTCCCTCCCCTTATTCTACACTTAATACTAAATACTTAATCTAATTGGTAGAATCCTAACTTTGTCATCCCTCATATCGTAATGTGGTATTTCCAAAGAAGGTACCATCCATCACTAAGATGAAAAGTTAGATCCTAGTCCTAACCACAGTGGTTTCCTGGTAGTTCTGTGTTTGGTACCTCCTTAAAGGTTATTAACCAGGAGGACATTATCACAATATGATTATATTTATTTATTCACAATCTTCAACCAGGGTGGCCCAATCAGTCAAGTAGACTGGTCTCCCTTGGGGCCCTGGGTACAAACGTTTTTAGAACATATAGTAAAACATTTAGCTAACATACAACAAAAAACATAATATATAAAGATATAAATTAACATAAACAATATAAAAATATAAAATATAAAATAAGAGCCTAAAGTATGATGCCTTGAAGTTACTTTTAAAAATGTTTAAATTGTTTGATGATTTAGTTACTTCACTTAATGCGTTAAAAAGATTAGCACCTTTCCATTTAAAGGAATGTTTGTAATATTCTGCTCTACATTTGTCTAGTGACAGTGATTTGCAACTATTTCTTGGAAAATGATTATGATTTTCATTATCAAATTTAAAATACGATCATTTAAACACTTAAATACTAAAGATGATAGTTTAAGGTCAAATACATCATTAAGGTTTAGCCAACTAAGTGATGTGAACATTTCTTTAGAAGGCGTGAGGAAATGGGCATTTAATATCAATCTTGCCCCACGTTTTTGAAGCTTAGTCAATTTGTCAAGATCATTATCAAAACGCTTTGACCAGACACTGCTGCAATATTCAAAATGTGATTGAACAAAAAAATAAAATTTATTCAAAGTATATTGGTCGATGAAAGGTTTTATACACTTTATGATTAAAAGAGTTGCAAACACTTTCTTGGACACAGTGTTCACATGATCATGCCAAGCTAACTGGTCATCAATGACTACACACAAGTCATTTAAATGTATAAACTCTATTTAGCTCATAGCCATTAATGTTAATTTTAAAGTCATGATCTGATAATCGGCGGTGTGTACCCAAAAGCATAATTTTAGTTTTCTCAACTTTTGAACTTAATTTATTCTTTTTTTGTCTTCTGACATTTTGTTTTCAATATTGCTAACACTTTTATCTGCAACAGATATTGTGGTATCATCTGCAAATAAGGATATATTGCTATGAGAAATAACTTCAGAAAGACCATTGATAAAAATAAGAAAAAGGAGAGGCCCTAAAATTGACCCCTGTGGTACACCAACTGATAAACTCATAGGTTGTGATATTTTACCATTAAAGCAAACACTCTGTCTAAACCATTTCAACGGATCACTAGTAACACCCATACATAATAGTTTTTGAAACAGAATTTTGGTGGTTGACCATATCAGAAGCCATACCCTTTGTATTTACCTTTAGATGTTTCAGATCTTATATGATCAGTCGTGTGGATTGAGCAATATCTGTGGAATAATTTCCACAGAAACTGGATTAAAAGTTATTGATTGCATTCGCTGCATCAAAATATTTACGAAGCTGCTCAAACACAGCTTTGTCTATAATTTTAAATATGACCAGCAGAATGCAGAGCAGTCTGTAGCTATGAACTTCTTGTCTGTTCTTCTTTTTGTACAGCGGTCGAATTTTAGCAAATTTCATTTTATTGGGAAACACCTTTGATAGTATTGATAAATTAACAACATGTGGTTCAACAATAATTTCAGAATCCGTAGTTTTGTTTGACTTTAAGGCATTCAGCTGTTTGAAAACGAATTCAGTAGATACAGTTTGAAGGTTAAAGAATACAACTGGTTTGTTTATGTCATAGTATGAAAGAACAGGCGGATTTATTTATCATTTGTTTTAGTGTGTCAAATGCTTGTTGATGTTGAGACCAATGCCATGCGACATAATTGCCAATTAGTTCACATAATGGTGCTGCAGTTTCATAGAGTGACAGACACTGCACCATTCTGAGAAAGGATGGTGGAAGTAACCTGCAACCAATCTACGATTACTTTCTTTACTGTTCCGATGCCAGGACTGTACAATTTGAATATTATGTTGTTAGCTTATGACAGACAGTGTACCTTAAACATTAAATTGACTTGAACACACTTTTTTCACAACACCTCACATTGTTTTGGATACATAATTTATTAAGCATTAACCATTTATGACCAGTTGAAAGTAACAGTTACCTGTAGTATTGGAATTTTTTTTGTTATATGTAGTAGACAGAAGTACAGTACCAACATAGTTAATTAATTTATTGATGGTTGTTCCTTATTCAAACTTTTTGATAACCATATCTTTTGGATTTTCATTTTTATGAAGGAGAATTAATGTTAAAGAAATATATATTATGAAGTTTTGGTATTGATTTACTGATGCAATGCAATTGTTTTCTTTGACATGTAAACCAAATATATCAATTTCTATATGGTTATAGATAACCATTATAGATAATAGTAAATATAAAATAGTATTTTGAATATTACGATAAATATATCTGTAAAAAAAACATATATTGAAGAATGTGGTCTTTAGCATCGGGTGTTTTACAAATAATTTATGAAATGAACTCCTGCATTATTAATGGCTGCACGGCATCATGGAATACTCTTTGAAAAGTGCATGATGACTATTTGATGATGGATTATTAATATCCAGTGGTTTTATGAAAACTAACCACTGGTAGTTAACCACCTTATTTTCTGTATACCAGTTTTAAAGAGCAAGAGTGTTCTCAAGGCTTTTCCATCCAGCACAGCAAATGCACTGGAAAATTATTCCACCTGTCACATTATATTTTTGATGACAGACTTGACTATGCTACTTTACTGTAGAATTTCTTAACTATAAAATAAAGCATTCAAACATGCTTCAAAAATACAAAAAGTGTGTAATTATAGTATTGTATATTATTTACTGTATTCATTTTGTTGTGTGTAACCGTGTGTGTATTTTTGGAATTTATTAATGCATAGTTATTCAGGGCATGCTCACTACACGAGAATTCTTTTCCTTTTTATGCACTGCTAAGTTCCATTTAAATCAGTTTATTTCAATGTTCCTTGCGTTTTTATGATCTCTCAGCCTCTTTAAATATTTCAACATCTTAATTTATTGTTTGATTTGGAATAAATGTTTATTTGAATATTAATGAATTTACAAAATGTCAATAAATATATTTTGGGAACATGCAATGTCAAATGTTATTTGCTTTTATTAATTTTGCTTTCACTAAGTATCACGGTGCTAGAGATATATATTGAATATTGACCGAAATGTATGTACCCTGTGAGCAGTCGTATTACATGTGCTTCGGAAAGTCAGCATTTGTATTATGGAATCCATTGTATATGATCAAGCAGTTCCTCTCATTTAAAAAAAAAAAGACTAAAGTAAGTTCTCCTATAAGTTTGAGATTAAATTATTTAATGCTACTCAAAATTACATTTTACAAAATGCCATCTATTTAATTTAAGTAAACTTAAAAATGAAGAAATGGATCAAGGGTCAGATCATTAGCAAGAGCATATGGCAAGGGAAAGGAAGAATGGCGAGAATATGCAATGAAGTTGAGGATGAGTGATGTAGGGGAAGACATGCAGTATGGGTGATCTAGGTTCTATCTACACTAAAACAGCAAGGTGTGATTGTTGATTTAATTTTCTCAACTGCCAAATTGTTTTTCTGGAAACCAGCTGAAGGCCCAAGATTTGCCTGTCTTCTGGGGCAAAATACATCAGGTAAATACATTCCCATCAGCAGTGGTGCGCGTTCACATAATGTGAAATTTATAAATTATCATCATCATCTGACTGCACTGCAGAGTAAATGATGACCAACTTGTCCTGTTGCTTCAAATCCATGTATTCCTTATATATAAAGAAGTTATTACAAATTAGTTGTGCTTTTCAGCATCATTGCTCCAGGTTTTGTCTGTGTGCAAGCTTTCCTAATAGAACTACAGAAATTCAAACAAGTACAGTGCGACAGTAATGCAAAATTTCAGGTAATTTTATTACAAATCTGAAAAACATTTTTCATAGTTGCAGTAACAATACTAAAGTTTTAAACTTCATTCATTTTTTTGTGTGTCAAATTGGGCAGTACATGCAAGCCATGTCAAAGGTTGGCCAGCATGCTTTGATACTCCCCATACTGCATTGTTAATGGTGGCTGTGTTTTAGCCTTAGGCACATGCATTTCATGGCATAAATATATTATTTAAAAAGTAGCCTCTTACCTAGAAGTGGCTTCCAAGCCATGTTTTGGCATGAATTGAATACAAAAAAAAACCAAAAACTCTAGGATCTTCTGTATATGGACTGCCACGTGCTATATAAAAGCAGTGATGTATTTACTGCAGCCCTTGATCAGACAATATATATCCATTCTTTCATTAGTGCTCAGACATGCAATTCCTTGGATACTTCTTTTTTTCATCGTTTAGATAGAAGTAGCAAAGCATAATATTATCAAGAGTGTGGCATAATATAGACACTCTAAAGTACAGGCATCTTTTTTTCATCATTTAGTACTACTGTACATAGAAGTAGTAAGCATAATATTATCAAGAGTGTGGAATAACATAAACACTCTAAATACAGACATAAAAATGTTTGATTAATGTTTGAATATGTCTTACTCTTTAATAAGTATATTATCAAGAGGGTAATATGCAAATATGGACTGCTCATGTCGGGAATGGTGAAATCTATTGCCCAAAGGTGATGTGGGGCTATAGATTTCAACCGTTCCCCGAATCTAGAGCGGTCAATATTTGTTTTATATACCTGATATATAGATTCTACAAGACCTACGAAAGTAATGAAAATAGTACACATCCAAGTAGGCTCCCTAGGCTTACAGCCTAGGCAATAAAAGGGCCAAATCTCACTTAGCGTCGTTGAGGTTGTGCCTCCTTTACCGTTTGTGCGTGTCATTAATTACATATCAAGCCTCGAGGTTGCACATTGCACAACAGGGCAAATACGGTAGTAGTACTCTCTATTGCCAGTGCTTCTTAACCACAGATGCCTAGAATCTATGTATGCAGTATATAATGTAATATAAACTATGTATAGTCAGCAAAAATGTTCGATTAATGTTTGAATGTTTTTTATTCAGATGATCCTTGAATGATTTATTCAGCTTCTCTTGCTTTGGCCATGAATGCCTCAATGTCATTGATGGTCCTTGGTACACATGTCAGTAACTCCATACCATCAGATGTTACAACAACATCATCCTCAATACGAACCTAGGAAAAAAAAAACGATAAGTAGTTATAATAGATACTTTACATACGTTTGTCGCTCTCCACCCTGGAGTATAAATGTGAGGTCTCGCCACAAAATGAGTCTCATGGTTAGAAATTCAAAAATTGAGTTTATATTATATTTGGGTAGATCACATTATAAGCTTTCATTTGGTCTTTGAATGGCTTCTCTACGATAAGTAAATCCAGAGATGTGAGCATTTAAATTTTAAGTGTATAAGAACCACGTTTTGAGAAAATCAGCCTCAAAGATAAACTAACCTGTACAAATAATATGACTAGAATTACAGAATATGTGCAGAGAACACTCATTCACTTATAAAGTATACAATCATAAAATATAAGTATCAAGTTATTCAAAAACATTAAAATCAAAATTTTGTAAAAATGATGACTTTTGTCTGTTTTGGTGAATATCTCAATATGATTTCACCAACGATGCGTCTCATTTTGTGGTAAGACCTCACAAATGGGTACCGGCATATGCTGGGAAGGTAAAAAGGACTTGCTTTATGGGAGGAGTGGCGAACCCCACACAGCCTTGCACAGTCTGTCCCAAACGCCAAGGAAAGAGAGATGGACACTCTGGCTTGTGAGCCCAGAGCTTCAGACACCTATCCAAATATATAATAGTCAGATACCCTGATTAGTTAATTAATTTACTGATATCTCATTAATACAATATAAGCAATTTTAATAGATTAATTCATATCAATCAATCAAATCAAATTTATTTCACTTGCAGTAGTGGCTCTAGAAATTTGCCAACGGTTCCAACAGAGGTCTGACGAGAATCTGACCGAAGGGGAACCCTTGTGGCAGTAAAGGGGGAGAGGTTTAGGGTTTAGACAGATAAAAACTGAATGTTTTATTACAAACTGCAATAGCTAACTTTGGTTCAGATTTAAAAATGAACATTTTAGTCTAATGAATTCACAATGCATCTGACGACAAGGGGTCCTTGTATTCTTTTGACATGGCGGTAATTTCTCCCTTGACCTCCATTGGTGCCGCCACATGTGTCGGAGAGATATTTGGTATAATCAGCTTCCAGATATTAAATTTCAAGGGTGTAACGTCCTATGGAATAACTTACCCCACCAAAATTCATAAATCTTTGGAGTTCTTGCTGACAGAGAAATGGGGCCTGTGTTTCATTATTGAATGCTTGTTCCAAAACCTGCAAAAACAAAAAAAAGGCCTTTTAACACATCACTTGATTTTTAATCATCATGGGTAAATTCTTAGGCGAGACTTTTTTATACCTTATTTCATAGAACCAATGATTATTAAATTAAAAAATATATTTTATTTTGGCAAGTTAGCACTATCACTATATAAAATACGGTGTTTTTTTATTGTTCCTGCCAGTTCTCACAAAACAAAATATCTATATTTAAATAAAACTTATGAACGACATGTTTCAATGTGTCCCACATCATCATCAGGTAATAACGCTTATGCTACTAACGGTTTAAGTACTACTGGTCAGATGTAAGACGAAACAAGCAAATATTAAGGTAAGTCATGTATATAGCGGTCAAGAATACTATGGTAAGTCATGTATATAGGAATTAGAATGAATTAGAATGAGAGAGTGATATTGTAATAATTTGTTTGTTTGTTCAGTGACAGACTTCCCCAAGCAATGTAAAGGACTTCTTTATTTTAAATTGATGAGTATTGTGGGCGGAGTCAAGAATAGTAAAACAGTCTAAATTCGATGTGTTTTGACATGTCGTTCATAAGTTTTATTTACTTCATTAGATGCATTACTGCATTTGTATATCTATATTTCTTCTTAATTATATAAATTTAAAGCTATTATTAATCCCATTAATACTACAATATTTAAATTCACCAATAACATTTTATTTCTTTTCTTCCTACTCAGAAGTTTGCTAAACAAGGTATTAAAATAATCTTCCTTTAGTGCTAAACTTTCTAAATTATTGGTGTTGAAAGCTGTACTTCTGAATAGTAATTATTTGTTTGCCATCGCTTGAAACCAATCACTGCGGTAAAGTTAACAAACCCTTCCTTTTTTGTATCCAAGGTATTGATTAATATGAATCATTGTACTACAAATACAGTAAGCCTACGTACCGACTGAATAAAGTAACAGCCTGGTTCAATTGTCAACACCATACCAGCCTGTAGATGGCGTACAGTACGCAAGCTCTTAAGTCCAGGCTTCTCCATCCGTTCAGTACCCTGAAATATATTCAAACGTCAAAAGTTATATCTGAGTAATTCTACTCCTATGGCATTTTTATTCCTTTCACCTAAGCAGGGTTTCTTTTAGTAGGAGTGTGTGGCGCAGTGTGTAAGGTGTTGGACTTCTTATCAGGAGTTAATGACAGATGCTTGTCGCACTGCTTGTGCCCTTGGGTAAGGCACTTTACTTACGTTTACCCCTCTCCACCCAGGAGTATAAATAGGTACCTGGTAGGATGGTGTGGCATTGAACGTCGTTGTGCATGTAAAGCAGCATGACTAGGGATGCTCCCCAGGAAGCAGAGAAAGTTACTGGTTTGCCAACTAAGTATCCTGTAACCAGGAAAATACTGATGCCAGCGCCTTTGTATATTTTCCGGAATGTGAAAGGCGCCATATAAATTAAATTATGTTTGAATGAGTAGCATTAAAAACATCAGCTCAAATGCACTATTTGAAAATTGCAAAAAGTGGTTGACAAGTATCATTATTATTTTTGAGGTTTGTTGATTGTTCCTGGCTTGATCACTGTTACAAATTGATACTGTGAATTCAACCAAAGAGAATAGAATTGCAAGGAGTCCGACTGCCCTGGTTTTGTATGCACACAATGGAAAGTTGGAAAAAAGTACTACTACGAGATAGGGGGCGCACTATTAGAATTTGAATAGAGTTTGAAACGCGCCTTTTGAAGTAAGCTCTCTAGTTCTTGGCAGTACTTTTTGAAATAGGATTACGTTTCAACAAAACCCAGAGAGTCGGATGTCTTGCAGTTCTATATCTTTGATTCAACCTACAAACATTTAAATACTCTTGGTACAGTTTAATACACTTGATTTTCAAATGACAAAAAAAAAAAAAACCCAAATTTTACCTCTGGGTAACCACCAACATCGTGAACATCTAGGCCCATAAAATGCCCCAGACCATGTGGCATGAAAAGGGCTCCAATGTTGGCCTTCACCATTTCATCTAGGTCTCCTTGCACAAGGCCATGCTGCTTGAGAACGAGTAGAATGGTACGCTCAGCCAAGCGGTGCATTTCCACCCATGATGCACCTTCAGAGTGAAAGTATAAAGTTAATTGATAAAATAAATGTAGAACTCGGATTAGCACAGGGGAAGAACCGATGAGCATTAGAAAAGAGTATCAAACAATCAATTTCAATTTTTTAGATATGATTATTCAAAATTTTATACCTTCAGTTTGCCCTCCAATTCAATACTACCACATTTCATTCTAAAATTTTCTAGTTCGCTGTGTGTTAAGATGATATTTTTTTGTGGATGTACTGTTAATTCAATTTAGTTTGTCTTGTTATTGCAAATTTTTTTTAATTCATTTTAGGGAAATTTATTAAAACTTCAATCCCTATTTTATTTATTGATTGCAATAAAGTTTGTTTGTATTTCGTATCTTATTATTGAAGAAATTATTAGTTCATACTGCACTTTGAAAAGCGGTTTGGAATTTAGAGTGGTCTCCAATTTGAGGGTGAACAGAATTCTTGGTGTCATAACATTGTTTCATAACAAAATATTTTATTTTTAGCTTGGTTTCTATATAATCGCTACATGCTATCGCTTACAGCTTTCGGTGATGCTGATTCGACGGTCAAATTGGGGCACCTTCCCGATTGCATCGAGGGCTGCTATGCAGGGGAACGATTGCACTGAAAAGACTGTAGCGACAATGTATGTTTACAGAAACCAGGCTTTAATGTGGTTGGGAGTCTGAAAATCCCACTTAAACTGTTGTGTGTACAGTAATGATATGGATTATTGAGTGTCTCTAATATAATTTTAATGCTTAGCTGATATAGCAGTTAGCACAACGATTGTGTATTGATGTCAGGGTTGTGTGTGATTACACTTGTGTCTTTGCCCAACACTTAGTCTCTCTCTGCCCAGAAATACAAACAACCTGGTAGGATGTTGTGCTACTAGTTTTGAGGTTCAAAACCCACAATGGGCAAGTAAGTTTGTCCCTCTCTACCCAACAGTACAAACGAATACCTGGTAGGGTGTTGTGTTACCATTTTCATGTGCTGATTACCACTAGGTATATTTATTTAAGCTTTCTTTCCAGGGGGTATCCATTCAGTGACTAACACTGCTTTTCAAGTAAGCCCTGGTACATACAGTGAATATATCCAAGAGAAAAAAAAATGTTTATAATCATGAAAAAGTAACAAAAAGTAAATCAAAAACAACAAGATAGCCTAAAACTGAAAAGGACAAATGAAAACTACCAAACCAAAATAAAAAAGGTACAGTCTTACTAAATACAGATAAAGGCCTCTTTTTTAAACATATTAATAGAAAGAGAATCAAAATTGTTAATACAAATGTTGTGAAAAAGATTGTTCCAAAGATGTATACTCCTCAGATTTTTTGCTGCAGGTTTGCCAAAGTATTATGATATTCAATGGCAGGGTCACTCATGCCTTTGATCAGGGACCTGCCCATGCTTAGAGCAATGCTGTGGAATGGTGCTCCATGAATCCATAGTGTAATTATTATTATCATAGAAGCATGCTAGACACTTATATTAACAGAAATATAAACAATGTGATGAAGCTATCTGCTGCTTTGTAGCCAATCAATGGATAAAGACCTTACGATGTTTGTATTTTTACCAGATAAAAGAATGATTCCCTTTTTATTAAATTGTAACCTATAAAAAGCTTACCTGGTTTGACTTCTTTCATAACAGCTCTACTGGCATCATACACTGCTTGGTAGATAATCTTTTGATTATTGGTGAACTTCCCATTCACAGGAAATGAGCAGGTGATATCAGATGCATAGCAGTAATATTCTCCACCCATATCAAATAAGCTGAAAAAAAAATGTATAAAAAATTCAAAACAGAATTGAGAGAATCAAGAATCAAAAATTATTTGAATAAATTCCCAACTGATATAATATTGCATGGTATTCTTTAAATGTTGCTGACCATCAAATCTAGTGTTAGAGGATGTGTTCAACTTTCATCAGTACATTATTTCTTATACGGTTTTGAATAAAACTAATCTTGTACAGTATAATCTATATACAGTACTTATACTGCATATGTTAAATCAAGCTTGTTTGTATTTACTATGTACAACAGTTTCACTTAATTGTTTCCATCCATAATTATAGGGGGTGACCCCTCTAGCCTATCTTAGGTGGTCATCCCTAATCAGGGGCACTCTTTAATAAATAAAACAATGATGCTTTATAAACCAAGCCTCATTACAAGAGAGTCACAGGATTTGAACACAGACATTGGAAGGCAAGGAACTGAATAACCATCTCCATACAGCACACACAAATACTCCTCCAGCAAATTTTATCTTTCTTCTGTACCATTTTTGTAGTGTACATAAAATATGTTACTGCATATTTCTGGCTCCCGTTCTGCAATATTCTTCCCGTTATAAAAATAACTGAATCGTGACTGATAACTGCAATTTGTGTGCTTTGTTTGGATGATTCAATTGTTATATATTTTATGATAATAATAATAATAATAATTACAATAATGATATGGTTACAATAATGATTCAATAATTAATAATTAAAATAATCAATTTTATTACGTATATGTTTTTTACCTGTTGTTTACTTCTGATGTTTCCAATTTTAATGTATTTTAATGTTATTTTTATCTCCATTTTTTATGTCATGTGCTTTTGTTTGATTGATGTTTTTATGTTCTTATATTTGCCTATTTGCCTTATTTTTGTAAATATCAATTAATTCAGCCTTGGCTGAGATTTTGATGTGTGTTTGAATAAAAAAAATAGAAAAAAAAAGGGTGACACCTACAAATTACATTTTTACTGAGGTTGAACTCACCACATGTCTCCATCATTGATGACTTTGTCGTTGGGGGCGCCAGCATGTCCATAATGAAGGACAGCTCCATTCTTTCCACTGAAATAAGGAGAATATTTAAATGCATGTGGTAATATTTTTCGAAATGTCTATACAATATTAATTGCATAATGCTACATATCAGGCAACTTTTTTTATACCCAGATTAGTGAACCCGCCGCCCATCAATAACGATAATTTCGAATATAAATAAAATTTGATTTTTGGCCAATTAGCACACCCGCCACCACAAAAATGGAAATTTATGCCTGCCACTGCCTTCAATTCTTCAAAAATAATATATTTATATTTCTTCCAAAATTATATCAATTTAAAGAATTTAACCATCCCATTACGACACTATTTATATTTAACAATAAAATTTTATTTTTATTTTCTCCACCGTCTGTTTTTTTTTTTTTTTTGGGAAACCGTTATATAAAATGTTTTTTTCTTATTTATAAACAAACAAAATTTAATTTTTTCTTTTTGTTCACCCTCCTCTGACGATCTTTAAAACAATAAGTTCGCAAAACAAGGCATAAAGTTCCTGCCCTATTGTGAAGGACAATACCTTTATTAATTTTCACTTAATTTTCTTTTACTAAGGTGCATATGTTAAGTATATATATAAAATTATAAATGTTATGTTATCTCATAAATAGAACACAAAGGAAGCAGTAAGTTACTTATTTTCTAGAAGATTTAATAAAGGATGGATCAAAGTGGCTTTTGCACTTTAAATATGTTAATTGTCATTAGCATGTACAGATATCACTATGGTAACAGCCAATCAAGACTGACGAGATCAAGATGTTTATATTTTAACAGAATGATGTATGCCAGCTGAAAATTAATTATGAGTGAGGTCAAGTGAAAGCATCTTGCAAGTTTCACTTTAGCAAACAATTAGTGTTTTATGTCATTTCCAGTTTATGCAGGAAACCAAAAAATCAATGCAACACAGATTGGACCATCAATGCATCTTCCTTGTTATTGTTCTTACCTTCCGCAAATGCAGGTGTACGAAGTGTGTCTACAACCTCCTTTACTGTAGCAATAATGCTGAAACAGGCTGCAAAACAAACCGACACTTGTTAACCTCACCACTTCACTGGGTTTATTGATTTTGATAATATTACTAGCATTCACTTGACTGTCTGGTTTTCGTGGTTTATTTGATTGTTTATATCTAATTTGCTTAAAAGATGTTTATATATAGTTAACTTTGTAGAATAGCAAATAAATAACTTGAGCATTGACCCACTTTCAATAGACATGGCATCACACACAAATTGATCAGATAAGCGAAACAAACATACACTGCTGACAATAGTTCCAGACTTGGTAATAGGATGCCAAAATTTGAAATTTGCTCCGATTGTTCAATTTTTTAATGACCTTCATAATGTTACTGCATACAATCTGTATAAATGTTGGCTAGTGCTGCATTGTGGCTGTTCCCAGAGAAAAGGCCCAGCTACAATTTTCAATTTGAACTAGGACCTAGGACAAGTATTTTTTTTTCTACCTCTCCATCTCATATTCTTTCATTCCAGGACGGATCTTCCTCATGATCTCCATGTGTGCCTCGCTGCTTATTTTATTTGTGTAACGCAAGATCTCAAGCTCTTGTGGCGTTTTAATTACTCGGCTAAAAAGAAAAATAAAAAACATGAATATTAAAAAAGTATTAGAATACAACACCAAAGTTTTTTTGTAAAACATATTATTCTCAACATTTAGTTGGACAAGAGGATTTAAAAAATGCAAAGATGTATACTTTTGTTGGTATGCATGCTTTTGTTGGCTTAAGTTATCATGTCATTGCCAAAATACTTGCCTTACTGGTACTTGTTGAGAACTGACCCAAAGTACAGTATTATTATGAATATGTGCTAAATGCGTTACAGATATTACCTTACAATGTACTTTTTGTCAAACATTGCTCAAGGATGATGATATAGTGCACCTCAATTTAAATTGTGTAATTTTTAACAGGCAATATCTTACGAAAATGAATGGAGCATATTTTGGGGAACAAAATGTTTATATATGAGTGAGTGGGCTTCCTTTGATGTTTAAAAACAGGATTCAATCAAAATTGTTTGCAAATGAGCCTTCAAAAAATTGTATTTTTTTTTTTTCTTTAGATCTACCTATATACAAGTTATTTTTAGGTAGGATAGAGTGAATCACATGCTTTCTTTGTGCATTCTGCAGTTAGAGCTCATGGTTATTCACATAGGCCCTCTGCTTAAAAAACAAAACCCAATTCAGAGGACTTTTCTGCTTTAAATCTAGCCAATTGTGTTCACAGTGCTGGAAAGTGTTGAGTTTAGCAACCAGTAGCTTAACCAACAATAGGAAATGTCTGTACCTTTGCACAGTGCATTTATTTATGTGGTTAAATCATCATCAGATATTCCCTTGAAGACATGACTCATTTTTTTACAATGTATAGTGTGCATTAGTAGGAAGGCCTTTCAGTAACTTCATGCCATTAAGTGTGACTTACCAATTTAAAGGAAAGAATAAACCATGTGAGGCTACATGAGTGGAGATGCGTTTAGTTCATAAGAGAAAATATTTATTCTGTTAATATAACCCCCATCCTGTCCCTGTTCCCAAATTCAATTACAGTTGAACTTGCAAAATGACATTTAAAATTTGTTTGACTTAGATAAAATATCGCTTACAGATCATTAATTAATTAAAAAACACAACAATTTGCCATATAAAAATATGATCAACTTAGAAATTATTCGAATTAGGCAAATTCAACTTAGGCAAGTTTAACTGTGGTCAAAACTTACCATTCCATTATATGCGGATGGAGTAAAGTATTGTTCACTTTAAACCTATGAAACAGAAATGTTTGTATTGCATAATTATTAATAGATGTACTGGATACACTGCATATATTCAGCAGTGGTTGATGAAATGATTTACAACATAATAATTTTATACACCGATTGAACAAACAAAACTCAATGGAATTAAAGATGCACATTTTTTCTATAATGCCAGTAATAAAATTCATGTTATTAAATGCTTCAGTTTTGATGTGATGCTATTGTGTTAAAACAAGATATGGATAAAACAAAAATATGGTCCCTTATATGACACTAACATAAAAACTGTATATTTAACTGTTCACTGAACTTATTATTATATTGATAAATATAAGTATCAAAATCCTGGATAGATAAATCTTCATCATCAAACTATTATATTTGTATCAAGAAAGTAATTTTCACTTTCTTCTTTAAAACATTTCACCATTATATTGTTGTTTTCTCTTGATGTTAAACCTATGATTTTGCACCATTGAACTTTGACCTTTCTTGTTTCTGTTTGTCTTGATACATTTAAATAGTGCAAAACAAAGTTTTCCTCATCAGAAGTCAATAATTACTGTGTACAATTATGTTGATCATTATTCATACATACTTGTGAACACCTTCAAAGACAGCTTCTTGGCAGGTACTTCCACTATCTGTGTTAACACCCCTCTGGAAAAAAAAAATCTTGCAAAATAATTATACGAAAAAGAAAAAAAAAAAACTTAAAATTTAAATGAAATATTAAATTGCTCATTTAACCCTTTGAACCCTAAACTTAATCTTAATACGTCATGCTGACCCCGGGTGATTTTGAAAAATTATCCATATTTAAAAACAAATCACATATGATTAGTAGTTAGTAGATTAGTTGGTATCACCAACCTGTACACACAGGCCTGCAGTGAAATCATGATCGCTACCACTACAGCTATCATATTCATCTGAAGGGCTAGGCCCAGGCCTAGTGCTAGAAACTATGCTGTCTACCTCACTTTCGCTGTCAAAGTCGCTTCCACTATAATCGCTGGCATTATTCTTGGGAATCATCCAAAAGTAATTGCAAAGCCTCAATAGCATACATATATCATTTTCAAAGTGTAGAAGGACAAATAACTTTTTGTTACAGAAAACGATCCACACAAACTGTCAAACTGCTTAAGAGTGATGATGTCACAAAACTGTGAACTATGACCCATAACAGTCAGGTGATTACCCCAAATAAGATCACCTGATCTGAAAAGACAGAATACTGGCCTTTCAGGTTATTGTAGCGTAAGTGCAGGGCCTGTTTTCCGGCCTTTCGGGCTCAAAGTGTTAAAAAAATCTAATACATTATCAACTTTTATTTAGTCATAAATTTTTAAGTATCAGATGTCTTAATCTGAAATTTTTCTGGTAGAAATATATAGGGTATACGCAATAAATAAAAAATTATTACGATTTATTATTAATAATTTCTTTTTTATAGTAATAACTTATTGAAATATACAAACCAAGTAATTAAAAATCTTTTTTTTTTTTTTTTATTAGATTAGCAGTATACCTTTAAAATGTAGCCTAAATTCTAATTAAGACTACTACAACCATACAAACTCAAACTAGGCCAACCTAAGGTTTCATTTGACAATTCCACACCTACATCATCATTGGCCAAGTTTGGATATTGACATATGGCTGTATTATAAAGGATAAATATGAGACGCACAACCAGTTGAACCCCTGATCAGTACATAAGCAGATCCATCGTATTGAACGAGCTGACAATTTTACTAGTTTACTACATGTGTAACTGAAAAAATATTTAAACTGACATAATCAAAATACAGGTAAACCAATATTTTTTCTTTGATATATGCTTAACTTACCAATGTTAATAACATGGACGGATTCATCGACTCTAAGACATCTGCAATCTAGAAGACAAAAGCATAAATTAATCTTAATAGGAATGGAAATGTTGCTGCAAAAAGTTGAAATTAAGGTGGCCATGCATAGTAAGACAAGACTTTTTTTTATACCTTGCTTTAAAGTCAACCTGCCCTCCTATGACGATCTTTAAAAAACATAGGTTCAAAACACAAGGTATAAAAAAGTCTCGCCTAACTAAGCATTCTACAAACATTCCAGTTATGATTTATTCATAATTTTACATTCATAATATAATTAGTAAACGATTTGGCATACACTGTACTTAAATGTGTCCAAGTTTTTTGTTGTTTCCCTTCAGCTAGCATCCCAACCCCCTAAAAAAATTAGCAATGGTAAGTTGGTTATCATTTTATACTTACTTCTTCCACATAATGAACTTCATCTACAGCATATTTTTCTTTGAAATGACTTTTTGGTAAGATTCTGTAAAATGAGTGAAAGATCTTATTAAATAAATAAAAAATAAATAAATAAATAAATTTACTTACTTCTGGAATGACTTTTAGTTGTTTTTTTACTGGACTTATCTGTTAGATACACACATTGATATACAACTTTCTCTTAGTGCTTTCCACTCATGTATTTTAAAAATATTTTATGTCTGTGTTTTTTTTGTTGTAATATTTAACTTACACTCCCATCCATATGGCATATTCTTCAGGAAGCTTTGGGCAAAATAGAATGGATTTGCCGCTGTCAACATCAATAGCACCATAGAAACCAGACTCAAGCACACCAAAGGTCCAGTGGAAATATGACTCCTTAAATGTAAATATAAATATGTTAATACCACAAAAAATATTTTGTTAGGTATTGGGATATTTGGTTGTAAAAAATCCTGAAATTTATATTTTTAGTTAGTAGGTCCACAGATGGCAGAAATAAATATGATACACAAATAAATAAAAAAATAAAATATTATTTGTGATTATTATGTATTTTATATTTCACCCTCTCTGTTCATTCCTACCCTACTACTAGGAATCAAATATCAAATACTCTAGTTGTTCCACATGCATATTTAAACTGTGGTGAGCGCACATTTCATAACAGAGCAGCTCATCTTTGGAACAATCTGTAGAACAACATTCGTAACAATTTTGATGCTCTTTCTATTAATATGAAAGAGGCCTTTATCTGTATTTAGTAAGACTGTATCTTTTTTATTTTGGTTTGGTTGATTTCATTTGTCTGCTTTCTTTTCAGTTTTAGGCTATCTTGTTGTTTTTGATTTACTTTTAGTTACTTTTGAATTTCATGATTTTAAAAATTATTTTTTTGGATATATTCACTGTATGTACCAGGGCTTCCTTGAAAAGCCCCTGGTTAAAGAAAACTTAAATAAATAAATATATTTAGAGCAACTTGTAATGATCTGTCCATTATAAAAAAAGGTGCTATTTATAAACCTAGGTTTTTGTAGTTACTCTTATTCAGAATCTTTTATTCTTTGCTTTGTCCAATATTACACTTTTTATAATGGTACCATGTCAGGAGAGTACAAATTGCTTTCAAACTTCAATAATCTATATTTTGTAAGGGTACATATAAAAGTGAAAGGAAAAAAAAGTAATCGTGTTGAGCTTCAAAAGGGCGTGGTCTATGACTATGGTAGCAACCATACAGAGGCACTTAGATATGTATCATTCCACAACGACAGGGGCTGAAATACTATAGCTTTGGGGTAAACCCTACTCTAAGTCCTTATCCAAAAAGACTTGGCTCTACTAACCAAACCCTGGGTGAGGAGCGGCCAATGTCAAGGTTGTCAGTGACGCCCCTGCCTTACCGCTCGGCCACTCGACTTGTCCTATATTTTTAACAGTACCTGTCTAAAAACTAAGGCTGTGTCAGTGCAGTATCTGTTCGTTTCTTCGCCGCCCTGGAGGACAATAATTGCACCGGCACCAACACCTTTTTCTGTTAAACTCTTGCACAGTCGCTTGCGGTTTGTGTCATGCAGAGTAACTGACACGTTTAATGATCCAAGACAGAAAGAGGGTCTGAAAGAAAAATAGTTTGTTGCCTTGTTCTTAATATCAATTGTTATACCCCTGGTCTACTGTTTGTTTAAACAGTACTTGCATCTATGGAGTACCACAGTAAACACTTCCCATAAAAGGGGAGGTCAATGTTTGGTATGCAAAGCTCCTTGCAGGTCTAAATAATAATAATAATAATTCTGGATTTATATAGCGCCTCACATTGACACAACCTCGAGGCGCACCACCATCACACCACACCATCTATCCTCATATTGCATCGTTTTCGTCTCCCAAACTCTATTCTCTCAAATAATCATATCTTATTTAAAATAAATAACCTAATTATTTACTGCTGTAATCTGTTGCAGTTCCAAAACTCAAAACGCATCTTTTCTTTTAGTTTACACTGAACTGGAAATTCAAAGCGCTTCAAACTGCCTTTTGTGTTATAAAATGTTATCTATTATTATTATTATTATTTCATCCTGGAACTCCGTTTTTCCATCCAAACCAAACCAAACATATTCTTCTGACTCAATTAACTAGCTAGGTCCTAGGCTCTAGGCTAGGGCTGTTATAATAATGTATAAATATGGAACTGTAAAATTAACTTTCAGGTGTTACTAAATCGAAAAATCTTGCCTATCCTATAAGATAGAAAGAGCCTCAGTCTGCACCACCACTAGGCCTAGCTAGGGCCTGCCTGGCTCTAGGCTACACAGGATAGGGCTGACAAGACAGGGACGGAGGAGGGGCATGCTCCTTCCCTGCCTTGCCTACTACACAGTAAAGATATTAATAATAATACCTAGGGCCTAGGCCTAGCTAATTCATAAATTTGTTTGTGAACATTAAACTCACTCAGCCTTGACTGCCATTTTCAATATATTTTTGCCGCCCGCAAGAAGTATTTTTACTAAAACATAGGCAGCAAAAACCTTCTTAAAGTTTCCTTAGCTGTGAAACAACAGACCCTTTACCCTGACTTGCTAGCTAATCACCTGATTCAATAGAGACATCACATGACCTCAAATGGTCATTCCATTTATTTGTAGGTATAGTAGTCGAATATCATAATTAGTAATTTGTAAAACAAAGATTATCAGATAATTAATTAGTTTAAAAACAGGCATTATACAGTTTGGTATATTGTGTTATATTTTATTGACTAAAAAATAGGAACCATAAATGTCATTTTATAGTTATGTAGCCCCACATAGTAATGTTTTCAACCAACAGGTAAACAAATAGCCAAGGCAAACTTTTGTCCAGGTCCAGGTTAGTAAAGACACATGAGGACGAATATAATTCAGTGTGTTTATTATTATTTTGTTGTTTTATTTTAAAATGATAATAAAATAAATCATGACTTTAACATTCTGCATGGTTCACACGTACATCTTCTGAAATATTAAACTATGCTTTTTTAACTGGACTGGCTGTTGAGATGTTAACTCTAGCACTCTTGATCTTCCGCACACCTGGTGCTTAGACTTAGATTAGATTGTGACCTTGCCTTTTTGTTGATTCTGTGACTTGTCTGAGAGGTAGAGTACGCAGTACTACAGTACTACTAGAGGTCAGCCACAAGGATATATCGTAGGTGGCTACAGCAGAGAAAGACTGTTTGACGATCAGCTAGTCTTCAGTGAGGTCTCCGGTTTGTCTTCATTAAGTAAGGTATTGTTTCTGTGCCTTTGCACTGTTTATGTTACTAGATTCATTTTAAATTTAGTTTAGTGTTAAGTATCATACTTAGTATGGTAGGCCTTGGCTTAAGGCCAGTGAGTGATCGGGTGGTCAACTGTTGCTGCTGCAATCATGCTGTCTGCGGCATGTATGCCGTCTGCACTGTGAATTGATCGTGCAACTTCGATCGAGAAGAACAAGTCAAGGACCAAGGTGTTCACTGCTCTATTATCTTGATTTGATCATTTGACGATGAGGCATTGGCTCTCCTTAATTGTACCAAAATAAAGTGCACATTTAATTATTGCTGCGAAGCAGCCAATTCATATTCTTGACAGCAATTTGACCTCTGAAAGGTCATTGTTTGTCAAAAAACAAGGGCCTAAGAAGACTGAAAAGCGGAGTTTCCTTCTTTCGTTCTGCCGGGTAAAATCAATTACTTTAGGCGACGTTTGTAGACTAACCAACACGTCCCAACTTCCGCATTTCGCGCTAGCCTTATCCTACTAGGCCTAGACTAGCTAGGATGGTATAGGCCTAGCCTTGAAGGGACGAAGGTCCCAATGAAAAACAACGTCGCTCCTTGATAGCTAACATTGTCTTTAACATCACAATAATTCATTATTAGACCTATAGGCCTAGTTGTTTTTTGAATTGTACTCCACAAATCTCAGCCGATACCTCGCACAACTCGAGTAACGTCTCGTATCTATTGTTGTGACGTCATGCCTCGCTGGCTCACACTTGCGATGTCTCGCACTTGTGATCAAATACCACGCTGGCTCACACTTTGGCAACACTCTTTGGCAGTCAACTCCCCCTAGAAAACCCGCCCTTGGAATCTTGCCCCATAAAAAAATGTACACTTCCTAGACCATGCAGTCTTCAAAATAAAAATTGTATGTAACCTTTGGTAATCAACTACATTTTCCACATACATAGAAATTTTTGAAA